GTGTGTGTGTGTGTGTGTGTGTGTGTGTGTGTGTGTGTGTGTGTGTGTGTGTGTGTGTGTGTGTCTGTGTGTGTGTGCGCACTCGCGTGTGCTGACGGGTACGTCTGTTTGGGATGTTTTCTCGAAGCTCTCCAGGTCTTGAGTGTAAACAAACTTCCTGGGATTCCTCTCCGAGCCCCTCACATTTCACTAGAAGCAGAGCTGCACCTTTTGCCTCTAGTAAAATCACCCTTCCTGGGCAGAGTTGGGAGGAGAGACTGAAGCATGAACTGTCAGTTGGAGACCAGAGTCCTGGCTGCGGCCCACCCCAATTTAATAACTGTGTTGACCTTGGGTAAGTCACTTTTGTGGCACTTTACACGTTATGAGCCAGGGCTGGAAGCACATTTCTTTTCTGACTCTACCTTTCTCCCATTCTAAGTAAACCTGCCAGACGCTCTCTCTTTCAGAAGCAGCTTCCCTATGATGGGAGATGGGCACTGCAGTGACCCCTCCAGTTTGTTTTCCTGTGGGCGAAGAGCTGAATCCAAGCTTCAGAACCTAAACTCAGTTTCCTGTGTGGTGGACGTGATTGGAATCTGGAAAGCTGCAGAAGAGACTTTGGCATGGTTAACTTAGACATTCAACAGGATTCCACTGAGTGCCACTCAGGAGCTTCCGGTGATCACCCTACTTCCTCTGTCACCCTACTTCCTTTCCCCAAATATCTGATTTCCCCTTTCAGCCTGGCCTCCGTGCCCAAAGACAGAATCACCTGTCTAAGGAAGACAACACTTTGTCGTGTGGTATAGTCTTTCTAAGAACTTCAGCATTTGAAAGTGATGGCCAGTTTCAGGTGAAAACAGTTACCTCCTCTTTCAAATGTAGACAATAAGTGCGATTAAACCATCCAGCCAGCGCCCCAAAGGAGACCTTGGTTTGATGAGCACTGGAGATAGAACAATCCATTGTTTTTTGACTTGGCTTGGTCCTCAAGTAACTTGATTGGCGCCCCCCACCCAGTTGGCTCTTCAAACACATTTCTTTGTTTTTGATGTGCTTTATGGGGGCTGGACATTACTAAATGCTCCAGAGTGGTTTTGTCCCTGCTGTGAATTAACTAATAACTATTTTTTTCAGCGAAGAGTTCAAAGGCTAAATTCTAGCTCAGCCCTTCTGAGACAGTAGGTTCTAGTTAGTGACACTTCACTGGGCTGTTTTCTGTTCCATCCGTCTATCCTCCAAAGCACTTACTGTTACTTAAACACTAACCCAGATCCTTCAGTTCTTTATTTAGACTGGGTAGATTTGACCAAACAGCAAAAAACCCAACCATATTTAAGAATGGATTTGGGGACCTGTTTGTGGATGGTCTACTGGGTGAATAATACACTACGATGAACCCCAACAACCATAATAGGAGCCAAAGTTTTCTCAGAGCCACACCTACCCCTCTTCACTGTGGGGTCCTGAAATATCACACCTGGGATGCCCTCGGCCCTCCACTTCTGCATCACTTAGGAGCCTCGTAAATCTGGGGATACTGTTATCAAAGTCTAAACAGAACCCCTGGTACAGCTGAGCTTTAGCCGAGCACAGTGAAGAAAAAGGGTGTCTGTATCTGAGCAGGGAGAAGAGGAGTTTGGGACACAGGAGTCTGCAGGAAGAGGGAACCATACAAGATGAGGGGTCTCCAAAAGATCTGAGGATTTGCAAAGTGGAGGCAGACGTGAAGGAAGGGAAGTAGGAAGAGGGCTTTTGTCTCAGGTGGACTCATGTCGGAATCTTGGCCCTGCCTCTCACCAGCTGTGTTACCTTCTTTACGCAGGCATCTTAACCACTGCAAGCTTCCACTTTTCACCTGCCGGAATTGTGCCATGGAAAGGAGATGAAGGGGTCTAGCTGAGCATGTCCCTGGAGCCAAGCGTATACCAAATGCCTTTGGATACATGTTAGCTTTTTAGAGAGGCCCGTTGCCCTCCATATGCCAACCATTCTGGATTTGAGCAAAAGAGAGCGAGGATGGTGGGAAAGCTGTTGAAACCAACCCTAACACTCCTGGGTCTCCTTCTGCCCATTCTGCAAGTGCAGCTGAGCTGCTCCTTCTGGAGGGCGGCTATGAGGGACTGGAGTTACTTAGGGGACTTAATAACCAGCCAATTTCAGTGATGCTGTGGCACTTTAGTTTTTGATTTTTGATAAGCAGGACAAAGAGGGCTGCATTTCTTCAAAAGGAAGCTGTTGGGCAGGAGAGGGGCCAGGGGAGGGATGGCTGTCAGCTCGGCCTTTGGTCAGCCTCTCACTGTGTTTGGACGTTAGTGAGCAATGGCTTGAGACTGAGGCTTCGGGAGCCCTTGCTGCTGGAAGACAAACAAGCCTGTCTTGGCTGTGCTCTTCGCAGGTGTCTGTCCCTGAAAAATACTCTGGGCAAGGAAAATTGAAGCAATCCTTCAGTTGCGTGAGCAACTCCAGGTCAAGGCAAGAGGAGCCTGCATGTCTTTCACGTGTCTTTCTTATTTCCATTATGATTCGAACAATAATTCAGCAATCTTCTGATTCTTTGGCCCTGCAAAAGTAGGCAGTACGGGTGATGTACAAAGGACATGGAACTTAATGTTGGAAAACTTGCAACCTGCAAGTAGCGTGTCCTCAGGTTGATCCCTCACCCCTGACACCAAGGGACCCTGAGATACCATAAGGGCATGAGAATGACCACCTTTTACATCCAGCAATATCCCGGGCATATGCAAACCACCTCTGTTGGTTTCTTCACTGTCTCTTGGGTGCACTAAGTGTAGCATCTGATGGGCTTTCTCTCAGTGAGACCCAAAGTAGCATTACCATATGGGGCTAGAACCAAATTAGCAAAAGGAAGAAGAGTCACCCATGAGATCTGTCCCTTCCTTTCCTGACAGCCAGAAGAA